GGGGGCTGCTCGGCTCCAAAGTTCTTTACATCCCAGGCACTGCCAGTCTCGCGTGGTGTGTACCCCACGGTGTGCAGAACGCTCGGACACTGCGCGCTTCTTCTGGGGTCACTATGGTCTCACATCGGTTTCAGTGTTTTTTGTGTGTGTGTGTGGGGGGGGGGGGGGGGGGGGGGGTAGGGGAGGTGCAAGTGGAAAGTCGGTTCTTGTCTGCTTTCGTAAAAATCAGCTTTGCCTTGTGGGGACATGACCGTAGAACAGTGCCGCTCTCCGTTCTGCTTGTTCTCTTTCTCTGTCCTACGTTTGGTACAGAAAAATTGATCTATGAGCAAATTTTTTTTCTCGCCGGAAAGAACGCGCCTCAGGATACTTACTCGTTTATTGTAGAGCGGCAGTTCTTTATATTTTTTTAGTCGTTTGCCCCGCCTTTATAGCGCATCCATTTGGTACGCCGAAAAGTGTGGCAGCAGTGCCATTTAAGGTGCGATTTAGGGACGCTGTTGCTTGAGAGTTCCAAGAGCTTTCTTCATGTAACTTTAGCGCCATGATGCCCTTGTTTCTCTTTCGTACCTTGGGACCACCCTACACTCTAAGAAAAAAGGGAGCGCGACTTAGTCCCTCGGGGGACCAAATGCGCTGCCACCACCATTAGTCCCCTAGGGGAGCAACTGTAACGGGAGCAACTGTTGCGCCCGTCAGTTAGTCCCCCGCACTAGCACCGTTGGGACTAACTGTTACACCCTTTCAGTTACACCTCGAGGACTAGCTGTTAGGCCCTTACACTTGGTCCTTTGGGATCAACTGTTACACCGTTTTAATTGAACCTCGAAGACGAACTGTTAGACCCTCGCGCTTGGACCCCTGGGACTAACTGTTACACCGTTTCAAATGAACCCCGAGGACCAACTGTTAGGCCCTTGCACTTGGACCCCTGGGTCTAAACGTCGCGCCCTTGGATTTAGACCCCTGGGACTAAAGGTTTATTTTTTACATTTGGTCCCGGGTCACAAATCTCCGAAACGAAATTGTGGAGTTCAGGTTAAACGTAGCTTTATTGCCTCGTAGATACACATCGCATTCAAGGATGACTGAAGTCGAAGTTCCTTTGCGGTAGAATCCACAATAAGGCAAATTCCGAAGAGTGCACTTGCGTCGACGATGGCTTGGACACTGGGACGTCTGTCCAAGCCGGTCGTGGTCCCAGCACCGTTTATTGGGGCACCGGAAGCTTTCTGCCTGTTTGGGAGGAAATCAGATTATTAGTAACAGGGCAGCGTAAATACCCAATTGCTTGACAAATATATGAAGTATAAGTTATAACACATGCATAATAAATTAACAAATAGGCTGCATAAATGATACAATGGTTCACATCCAACATGCGATCTGTTGACAGCAGACCAGCGCAATATTAGATTTTAGTAGACCGTTCGCTGCGAATTACAGACCCAGCGCGTGCGTGCTCAAACTATGCTTCAAAGTGACGGCACGATCTCCCGCCATCAACGCGAAAGTCTAGTTTACAATCGAATAAATATCTCCATTAATGCCGCTTCTCACACGGAGCGAAGCGCTGATGTAGCGCTGCTCACGTGTCATGAGCTACTTTTCGTTTGCCATGAGCAAGCGTTTTGTCCGTGCGATACAAAGCTGGTGACCGATCCCGTCAGCACGCGCTTAGCGCAAGGTCAGCGCTCTGCCTGTAGCGCTCCGCTGCATGTGTGGACAGGCGTTTATGGTCAAGCGATCCTGCCAGGATCTGGGAAACACACTCACAAAAAAAAAAAAAAATAAGCCATCGGGAGAACTGCAATAAAATGCTTAGATGGGCCAGTTGGTACATCGTGGGAAAATTACAACGGGCTCTGTTCAGCGCCCTGTGTCGTTGTCAATCTACTCTTTGTGCGCCCTGTGTCGTTGTCAATCTACTCTTTAGCGCCCTGTGTCGTTGTCAATCTACTCTTTGTGCGCCCTGTGTCGTTGTCAATCTACTCTTTGTCCGTGTTTTTTTGGCGCTTATTTTCCCACGGAGAACTGGCGTTTCGCTCGATACGATTGAATATGCTGTGCTGCATAACAAAATCAGCAACCATGGTGCCAAAAAAAAAAAAAAAATAGAGCATGGCGCGCGCTTTGCAAGCTAGAGAACGCGCTCAAAATAAAACACTTTCTGAAGCCGCAGTTAATAAGTACACCATAAACAGAAGCACTTCGACATACCTTAATTGAGTTCCCTTGACTTGTGACTTCAGAACAGATCAAGTGCAGTGCTTCAGCGCCGCGAATCCAAACCGGATCCCGCCATGATCGGAGATGACACAAGGCGACCAGCCTCCTACGAAGGCTGTATTTTGACTTTCAACTTACTAAAAACAGGTTATTTTCAAACAAAGACACTTCCCATTTTCCCGGCGGACCCCATCTGCACAACCAACGCCCAACCCCCCGCGTGAAGAAGGAATGCGGGGTAGGGGATTGGGCGGAGGGGGCAGTGCGCGTAGAAGATAATCTCTTTTCCCGCTCCCACTACACATGACACAAGGACACCGAAGAGCTCCAAGGACGGGAGAAGGTCGCCACTTTCAACACGCCGGTCGAGTGACGTACAAGCAAACACGTTTTTTTTCTTTTAGCTTTCTCGAGTGGCTTTTTTTTTTAGTTTGCATTTGTTTAGTATTAGTAGGGTGCTGCCAGGTGTGACGTTCCGGGCGTGATTCGGTCTTCGTTGTTCATCTGGATTGTTTTGGAAATAACGACGACGATGGCATGAAGGTGTCTGGATACTGCCCGTGGATGTGCTCTCCAAGTGGAACGTGCCGTGCATCAAGTGTGTCGTTGCGGATTTTGAGTTGGACATTGGGCTACCCAGAAAGGTTTGTGACGCAGAGACGGAGGCGCGTTCCCACCGGCGATGCGACCTAGTCGCGCGATAACTTTCATCGCAAAAGCGACCATCGCGGCCAAAAAGCGACGCGATTTGAGCAGTCGCTTCTCGACCCGACTTTTTTGAGATGCGATGTAGTCGCGGAGCCTCTGAGCCAATCTACGGCGTTCGGAACGAGAGTTTTCGAGAAACAACTCGCCAACGAAGGCGTTGGACTCGCTTATCGCACACGCCGGTGTGACCATCTAATTTTTTTTTGCAATGCGATCTAGTCGCATCGCGTGACTGCTTATATCGCCGGTGGGAATGATCTGTTTTAGCGATTGAAGTGACCATTTATTCTGACTGCGAGACTCCGGTGTTAAAAGCGGGGCTTCTACAAACTGTTACGTTTAATTTTAAAAAGAAAAAAAGTGTTAGTATTTGGAGGTGTTCCGTTTGGATAAATGCACATTTTTTGCGCGAAGGCAAATTACGTAAATGAGACTTGTGAAATGTCAACAGATCCTTTTTGACGAGATAGTTGGGTGAAGTCGAGTCAACACATTCGTTCACTCGCATTCACACAACGCGTGAAGCTCTACCATGTAATGTCTTAACGTTCGTGGCACATTAAACAAATTCGCCAGTTTCGTCCGAGTTTTGTCAGCACTTCGAGCCGTGCTGGGCTGAGTCTCGCAGATCCCCAAGACAAGCGAAATAGCATCCGTCCTCCTGGAAAACATTCCGTCTGCCTTTGTGGACTAAATCATACAGATGCACCCTGTCTGAGGGGGACTAACGGATGCTTTTGCTCGCGCACGCCTATCGGTTCGTCCCAGTCAAGTGCAATTAGTCCCCAGCGTTTGCGCACGGTACCTAGCTTGAGCCAGATGGTCCTTTCGGGGAGCAACTGGGAGTTCAGAGGACCAAATGCTGCCGTTAGTCCCTTTAGGCCAACTTTTTTTTTAGAGTGTAGACATCGAAAAAATACATTAATGGCTCATGAGTAACCAGAAGAAAACTGCGTTATTGACATGTGTGTCAAAGAATGTAAAATTGTCGCCTTTTGCCCCGCGCGTATACTGTTACGTAAATACCTACTTTGTTAAAAAAAAGTACTCAGAGATAGCACAAATTTGGTTCACATGGAGCTAAGTAGGATACCAGTAAAAATAGAGTTTACCTTGGCAGAATAGTTGGTCACAACCGGGCTGCATGTCTCGAAGCGAAACCTCGAGCATAAATTTGCGCCTTTTTGGCAGAGGGGAAACTCGTCAACCTCAACTCCGTATTTATTTTGTCCGGAACACCCTCGCCGACAGCTCTTACGTTTTTCTGCGCAAAGTGGGCAGGCTGCGGCACCGCTCAGTGAAATTTGCAACTACTCCGATTACTTGTCTGGGAGGTGGATGTTGATAAGCACAAACTGTTGCATTTTAACCTGTGCTTTATTTTACCCAACCTTACCCTAACGACTTGTCGGAGGTCTTTTGTGTTTTCTCGCCTTTAGTTACATATTCGAGGATAACGAACGCGGTATTCATAAGTATGAAATAAAAATACTTGAGAATTCACCTCTAAGTCGTTTTGTTTTCAAGAACGTCTTCAGCTTCGCACTAAAGGTAAAATCATAAATATTACAGATTCATATAGGACAGCTAGCAGACATAACACACTAAAACATTAAACAACTTAGTTTTTGACATAGCTTACTGCGGCATTACGACATGCCAAGTCAGTGTAACTGTACTACCCATCGCCAACTCTCCCGTCTTAGTCTCTCTAAGGTGAAGGGCCTCTCTTTCCTATGTTTAACAATTACTTCAACTACGTCATTATTGATCATATCGCTCTTAGTACAGTAACGTGACCAATTGAACAAAACACTCGCAATCATTGCTGGAACAACTAAAAAGAACAAGCAGAGAACTTAATTTTCATAGTTTTATTTAAATATTTAGTCAACTTGAGACAATGTAGTTGAGGACTTCGAGGACAGAAGGCTAATAAAGAGACACTCTCGAACGAATACCTTGAAACTAGCGAAGTTTCGGCATCGCTCAGAACAGTGTCTTACGTTGCTCAATAAAAAAATACTCTAGATAACAATTGTTTTACCTAACTAACCTTCACCTTAGGCGCTCTTGGCACGGCCAAGAGTGTAGGTGAGGGGAGCGTGAGAGAGGGCATAGGAGACTGGAGCGGCGTGGAAGGCCACTGGAGAAGCGTGCACTGCGTGAACCACTGGGGCAGCGTGCACAGCGTGCACAACTGGAGCAGCGTGAACGGCGTGGACGGTGACTGGGGCGGCGTGAACGGCGACAGGGGCCTTGACGGCAACTGGGGCTGGGCCCTCAACGGCAGAGGAGGCGTACTCCACGTCGGCTGGGGCGGAGGACTTGGTGCCTGGCTCGTTGGTCTCGACGGTGGCGTGGAAGCCACTGGCGTCGGCAGTGTACCTCACGGTACGGGTGATGCCGGAGGCGTCAGAGTAGCTGTAGGATCCCACCCTAGCGTTGTTGGCGTCGGCGTTCTCCTCGTGGGCGATGCGGGTGCCGAACTCGTCGGTGTTATCGTAGGCGAAGCTGTATGGCTGAGGTGGCTGCAAGGGTGAAAAAGATTATTGAGCTGTTTTGTTCTGTTCACGAACACTCTTAATCTTACGCATTAGCACGGGTCACGGCAACTTTACGACGAAGCATAGCGGCGAGATATTTTTTTAGTCCCTTTATGTTCAAATAAATCAAAAGAATCATCAGTATGTGGTAGAAAAATATTCATTTGGAGGGTCGAGCTGTGTGTTATTTCGGGCAGACGGTCAAAACAAATACCTAACAATTTCGTGTATGTTTACAGACACAACATAAACGAACATTCCAGAAATATGTATGCATGAATACGTGAAATCGGTCTGATTGCACACTACGTAACGTTTCATTGCTTACAGGCTTTAAGGCACCCTATGATCTGAAATGTTCCTTTCTGTCACCCAAGAAATTGGCAAGCCATAGTTTAATATGGGTTTTCCCTGGTAATAAGATGGGTTTTTGACTACTTTGTTAATTGCACAGGCATTTTTACTCCCACTAATTAAAAAAAAAATTAAAGTAATTCTGAAATAACTTCAACAGGTTTGTTTCAGAGCTGAATAATAAGTCCAACTGGTAGTTGGATATTTTAAAAACCTGAGAAAACGTTTGAAAACGTAAATGCACGACACGGTGGTTGTGTGTCTCTCTAACGGTAGTATATAAACGTTGTTAAAATAAGCTAGAAAAAAAGGAATCGCATTGGGGAAAAAATCAAAATATATCTTAAGGAGCGGTTTTAGAAATGGTGAAACCGAATGCAATACACATAATTTATATTAATCATACCTCTACCTGCCGCTTCATAAAATCTGAGATGACTGTATTATGGCTTATTTGCGCGTAACTAATGTACACACGTCCATAATAAACCCAAGGATTCAACTATTTGAACGTGCCACACGAAATTATTATTCGGGTTTGATAAAACTTTTTTCATAAATAATATGATTTTCACTAGTTTTTCCTATGTCGTGCATGACGATGTTCCACTTACATATTCTTCCACAACGCCGGCAGCCACGTAGGCGAAGAGGCAGCACAGAAGAACCTGTAAGGAGACAGTAATCCATGAGCGAGCTATTTCTTTCAGTGGACCGGCAGATCACATCAGGTAACCAAAGGCCCCAAAAATTGTACGCAAAGATGGCGCACCTTGGAGAACATGGTGGAAGGTGGAAGATCTTCTCTCCTTGTTCACAACGAAGGGTTAGATGCAAGATCTCTTCTCCGCGACGCTTTTATAGTGATCTTAGGTCACACCGACCGTGGCATATCTTTCCTTAAACAAGTGTTCGACCAATAAAAAAAAAAAGAGGATATCCTTTTTTAAAATCTTAACGCGTCCAGATCAAGCATTTCGTAATCTTTGAGGGATCGTAACGGATAGCGACACCATGCATTATACAAGCAAGCAGAGAGTCGGCGCTGATTCGGTATGCTCGGCGTGACTTTCCCCGTTCATATATTATGAATGAAAACTGAAGGAACTACCTTAATAAAACCACCCTACCCCACCTTTAGTGGCTGTTGTAACGGATACTCCTCATTTAGCTACGACACCAAAGTACAATCTGGGCGAATAAATGTATTAATTGGCTAAATTGACAGATAGAATCCGCCAAGACTAAGCTTGCTGCTTTGCGGAATATGTATGTGATATTTTTTTTAATAATATAGATTTATTTTCGAAGAACATTTTATTCAAAATATACAGGGCTGCTAGCTTATAGTCATAACTTACAGTATTGCGTGATCTAAAAAAATGATATACATAGAGGTAAATTTAGGAATCTACAACTTCACTCTTGAGGAAAATGTGAGGTTAACACATATTTATTAAATAAAGACTGTAGAACTTTTATCACTTATTCAACATATATATATCAATATGTTAATAATATATTTACTTTATAAGATTGTATACGTTAAGACATGGTGGTGCCAATTTCGACGTCCCCGATCAAAATAAGTCGGACTATTATTTTGAGGTTCGCGACACAACTCTCTGAATAAGCGAAAATATATTGAAAATAATTTTGACGTCCTTTTTTATATTTTGACAAGATTTTATTTTTTATTCGACGTCTTAAATTTTGAACTCTTCAAACCCTCGGTGGATACAAAGTCACGACTGAAATTTAATCGAAGGGCCTAACAAATTCGGGTGTGCTGATAACGTTATGAAGTTAAAGGACAGCAACATGACCTGCGGAAACGAGGAGGACGGAGCAAAGATGTTTTGTCCTTTCCGTGTCGTTTTCTCCGTTCATGTTTCTTTCCTTTGTCCGCCTGGTCAATGGTGGCGGCCAAGAAAATACCATCTAGCTCTCAGGCAGGTTCGGGGTTCAACACGCGTCTACCCAGTTTACGGAAAAAAAAGTGATGTGCAGTTGACTGCAGTTTTTGACATTTTAAGTAATCCGGAATGGGAAAAACATTTATCAAAGTACAACTTCAGCTACCAGGCCGCAAGCAGCGTTTTCTTGGTTGTGCTAAACATTAGAATGCGCCACAGTTGCTTTTCAATATTTATTTCACGTGTTTTCTATTGACAAAGGAGTTGAATATTGTTTCATAACGTTTGCAGTTGATTGGACGATATTTGCTGTCGGAAAATGCGTGTATCTAACAACTACGACGCCGACTATGTTGTTCGTTCGCACCGCTCGAGAAACATCAAGAAGACAACGTTTGCATTAGCAAAATTTTATTTAATATCTCGATCATTTCATAGGTAACCCGCTCGTTAAACACGAAGCCAAAATAAAATCTAAATTCAACAACAAACTCACGAAACCCGATTAAATAAAGGGTGGGAGCCTGATGCAAAGCAATACCTTTCAGCCAGAAGAAGACGCGCTCGCACGATAGTGGAGGCGTGGATATACGAAAAGCGTACCGATCTCTCAATATAACGTAGTGTACGCACTTAAATTTTCTGCGTGCAGTCAAGATAAAGCAATACCCAGCTTGCCTTTGTTGTGGATTCAATTTTTTTTAGAGAGACGTGTGCTCAAGTGATGTGAGTAAGCTCAGAACATTGCCGCCTTGAGTTTCACGATCGAGAGAATATACTTTGGAGGCAGTCCAGCATACACGCTGAATAAGATATTTCCATTGCCAAGTAGGATTGAACTTCCATAGGAGTGCGACACAGCCTCACATGACTCCGTCAAAACGTCAACACAACACCGAAAACATCATCAGAAACTAATTGGAACAAAACGACGAAAATACGAAACGGCTGCCACTGGCTACCCTGTGACAGCTGCATTGACGGGGGACGTCGAAATTATAAAGCCACTATTTTGACGTTTGAGACAAGTGGCGTCATAAGTGTAAAAGTAATTTTTGGGATAGTTTGATGGTGTGCGTGAAAATGGTCACTTCTGAAATGTATATAATACTCACGCTTTGATCGAGATTTGCTTTGCATGTGTTCTAAAAATGTGCAAAATCAAATGTTTTAATTGCAGCTGTAAAAAGTATTAATAAGTCGGCTACCTAAATTAGTGTTTCTCAACTCGCTTATTATTGGAAATAATTGTCACACATCAGTTCATGTATCACCCAGTGATACATATGCATTAGAAAAAGTTTGATAAAGGAGGTTTTGTAATAAATCTTAAGTCTGTCAGATTATCTTGTCAAAATTATCTTAATAAAATAGCTTTCTTTCATCTGTCATTTAATTTAAATTATATATTACCAATCCGGTTTTCACGGTGGTTTACCAGAAGATTCAGTCTCGCAGTGAACAAATGATGAAACATTCCAACGTTTTAGACTACCAGAAGGGACGGCTGCGGTATATTGTTTATCACATCTTTTGGCACTCAAGAGCTTAAATGGGGCTCCGGTGTCCGTGAAATTTGTTTTCACTGTAACTTCGGGAACGCCGTCGTAGAATACAATTGGCTGAGGAAAAAGGCCACCCATTAAAACAAAGGCGCATGCATCATAAAATATGTAGGCTCCTCGACAACGAGTGAAAGCTCGTGACAAAGTGCGTCTGCTTTCATTAGAGTTCGCAATGGCAGCACCGAAATCATTGCAGAAGTTTTGCGTTCCACCTGGATGACAAGGCAGCATCCCTTGTCTCAATTTATAAGTCAGTAGCAGAAAAATGAGGTCTTGTGATGACGAAAACAATGTTCCGCAGGATCGCAACCAATGGTATTTACTACGAAGCAGTCAGTAATTTTACGCAGGATGCATAACAAAATATTTTGAAATCTGAAAACAGCCTTTTACTAGTACAGGTCGCTCAGCTCAGTGAGACCGGGGTTCAGAGTTTTTCCGCGCAACTAATACATAGTATTAAGTAAATTTAATAAACCTATGAACAGCTGCTGTTAATTTATCAGCTATTTTAAAGGCCTTTGCCTTTTTTAAATAAGAGACCATGACTTATAAATCGTTCGAGGTGCAGCTATTTCTTCCACTTTCATACAAGCGTCTGGAAGTTGGCGTGGAGAACCAACGTCGTAACTTTCATAAATTAGCTAATATTGATTCAAAATAGTCGCTCTAAATCATAGTTAATTTTTTATATTTTCACCTATTACTGCACTGGCTTAACAAAATACGGTGTTTTGCTTGAAATTTGGTTCCAATTTTTATCCTCAGAGAGTGATGCTAGACGATATTAGTGTCACAAATAAATGGCACATAATTTTGAACTCATAATTGTTGAAGGCAATCCCAGAAGGTATTAGCCCCGAGAGCGAGCACAAGCGTCGCTGCGGTCGCAGCGCCCTGATTGGGTGAAGTGTGCCGTGACGTCACGGCGGGGAGCGCTCTCCCGGTTCCTTCCCGATTTCGCCTTGCCCCTGTCCTCGTACATTCGCTTTGGAGATGGTAACATTCTGTTCCGTGCCGCAATGCACGTCTCGAAAAGAACCCGGTGTCAGTTTTCACTTCTACCCAAAGTCATCGAGAAAAAAGAAGGAATGGATGATTAAATTAAGAATGGGGAAGGCGCCGTCAGCGTCGACCGTTGTGTGCAGCAAGCACTTCGATGAGCAGGACTTCGTCTACCCTGTCTACAAATCTCTGGGTAAGTCCGACACCGGTGCGACGCGTACATTCTGTGAGCGCGTAGTCCCATTTAATTTTATATCTAGGTTACAAGTACCGAAAATTGTCACCGGAGGCAATTCCGTCGCTGAACCTTCCCGTGCGTCCCCACGACACAAGGCGACCGGGCGAAGCGGCGGCGAGACGCCGGCGTAAGTGTTTATAAAGTTCTGTTCCTCGCACGTTGATGAGCTAGCACTGACGTTCATCTCTCACTGGAATTTGGAACGGCATTCATGCCGGGGGCTCTTGGACGAGTGGCGATGTGCTGCAACCCCTACGTGCGCGTGCCGCACGCGCACAAGTCGCCGGTTGTGCACGTCCTCGTTCTGAAACCTTCAGATGCCTGCCTGTACACGTGCGTGGTAGGGGTGGAACTCGGACACCGTGGACTGGCTGGGTCACCCATGCGCTTATTTTTGATAGAGCACGAGCACCAACTAGAAATAGCGTTCCATGGTAACCAGAAAGGATACTGTAGCCCCCTTTTTTTTCCCGGTGCCTATAAATTTTGCGAATTACGCGAAATTTAGGGGCAAGCGAAATACCGGCCTCTAGAAGCCCTGAATTGCCTCGTCCAGAATTTGCGAAATTTAGTGGTCGCAAATGTCTCTTTGCCCGATCCGTAGAAAAAAAATGGGGCTGTGAGAATCAGAAGTTTTACAGTAGTACAATTTGCTCAATTCCCAGTGTCAGTGTTATTTGACATAAGTAACTCAGTTCAGCATGTTATCCTAACGGCTACATTGTACATTTCCCTGACTAAATTGCATTTTTCCTGCCTTGTTTATTACGCCACTCATGTTACTTCTCCTTTTGTATGTATTTTCCTTACCTTGGCTTGTTTACCGTTGGCATACTCGAAGTAGGCACCAGTAAAAGTTCAATGTAGGTCAGCACTGCTGTCTGTTAGTCATCTTGTACTTTGTCGGTGACTGTGCGCTGTGCGTATTTGGGGAATGAACTACCAGCTAGCCGAATCATCAGCATTAGTCAATGCGCCATTTTAATAAATTTTTAACTTTCAGGTGAAAGGCATGCTGCTGCAAATCCACAGCAGGTGCCACAACCTCCCATTTCCCTAC